GAGAATGCGTGAGAAGGGGAGAGAGGAATGGATTGAACACAAGAGAAAAGGAAGAGCAGCTAAATTGAGTGAAGAGAAATTTAAAGAAATGAAGAGTAAAGAAGGGAAGAAGAAAGAAGAAAATGATGGAAAGGGTAATAAATGACGAGAGAAGAGAAGAAAAGAGCATAGAAGAGAAAACGTGCGTAGAATGGAGAGAGAAGGACGAGGAGAGAAGAGAGCAGGAGTAAAGCGAAGAAGAGAAGAGGAGCAGGTGAGAAGGTGGTAAATGAGTAGAGGAGCAAAGAGAGCAAAAGAACAGCGAGTGAAAAAGAGAAACAAAATAAGAGATGGAGAGAGAAAAGAAGATGCGAGAGAGAGGGGAGACAGAGAAGGTGAGAACGGAGAACAACTTAGGCGAGAGAGACATGAATGTATATGAAAATAGAAGAAAATTATGAACAGGATTCAAATAAAAGGAAAACAGATGCAGAAAGTGAACTCTCTGGACAAAGATATAAGATGAAGGAGGAGCAGAGTAGGGGAGTGGTGAAAGCTAGCCGTTAGCCGTTAGCCGTAGACGAGCTTTCTTTAGATTGATGGCATCGATGGCTTTCTCTTGGCGCCGTGGCTGTTTACGGCCAGGCCTTGCTTGAGTGCTTGGCCTGAAATGGCAGCCATAACAATTTGCGTTTTATGATGGCCGAAGAAAACTGTTGCAGATTTTTGAGGATTGTGGCAGCAGCAGTGGGGGGAGCAGTTGGCGCAACAGCAGCTGCTGTTAATCTTGCAACATTTGGCCGAAACGAGCTGCGTTATGAGTGCGACTCAATGCGAATTGCCATTTGGCCATTTGGCCATTTGGCCATTTGGCCATCCTGTGGAGTAGCCAATCAATCAGTTAGTCAACTAAACTCGTTAAGCAAACAATCAATTACGCGTCTGCGACTCTTTCAACTGGCAATTACTCTATGCGCTATATACGACATATATATTCCTTTTATTTTTATGGCCCAGAGCCGAGAAGCGAACTCATTAAGCAGCATAATCTAATATACATTGAGGGCGTAAATGTCGGCAGCTGGCACTAATCAATCAGCTTTGTCGATTGACTGCCCTGAGTGGAGATAAGCGAGAGGTCAGTTCATTAGGCCCAAGCGAACAGGCCAGGCTAAGCAATCAATTGATTGATTGATTGCAATCAAGTTCGACTAAAGTCTAAATTGGTTTGTGTTAAGTCAAATTTCCATTCCAAATTAATTTTATAGACAACATCAAACAAGAATTGCTCCCGAAGAAGAGGACTCTCTGGAGAGTTCGGTTGTCAATCAATCACGTATCAATCATAGCTCACATAAGGCAGCTCATATAGGATTATATTGCTACCGAAGAAGAGGACTCTCTGGAGAGTTCTATTGCCAATCAATCACGTATCAATCATAGCTCACATAAGGCAGCTCTTATAGGATTATATTGCTACCGAAGAAGAGGACTCTCTGGAGAGTTCTGTTGCCAATCAATCACGTATCAATCATAGCTCACATAAGGCAGTCCATATAGGGCTATGTTGCTCCCGAAGATGAGAACTCTCTGGAGAGTTCTGTTGCCAATCAATCACGTATCAATCATAGCTCACATAAGGCAGCTCATATAGGATTATATTGCTATCGAAGAAGAGGACTCTCTGGAGAGTTCTGTTGCCAATCAATCACGTATCAATCATAGCTCACATAAGGCAATTCATATAGGGTTATATAAAGCATTTTTTCACCTGAGATTTCAGCAAGCCATTAACTTGTAAGTCACTCAGTCAACCAATCAGTCTATGTAAATCAATAAGCCATACATCAAGTTGAAGTCAATCACACACTAATCGATCCTATATCAGTTGAGCCAGCAATCAAATTAGAGTGAAGCACTTTGTTTGTTTTTAAGTTACTTAGTCAAGCAATCAATCAGTTCATGTTATAGCAAAAACATTATTCACATCCATCAATCATAAACGTGTCTTGGTATTGAGCATGACAGCAATCAATAAGAAAAAGCCCATAAATCCACCGGGATTCAAAAGAAGTTGTTTTCAGTTTTTAAATCACTTCAGCAACACCAATCAATCAATCGGCGAGTGCTAATCAACAAGCTAAACTCAATCACAGCAGTTATCTTACTCTGTATACATAGTTAGCCACTCAATGGAGCGAATGTCGAGGCTAACAAAACAACAAAATTTAACAACTCAATCGAGCAAGTCAAAGCAACTCATTAACAAATCAATCAAGTTGCGGCGCGCAGCTTTAATTGAATCTAACGGCACACACACAAAAAAAAAAAAAACAAGTAAGAAGGCTCCAGTCGAGACTGCTCGACTAGGAGATACCCTAAACCCTCCAAGCTGATATTCTAATCAGTCTGGACTTCTTTTATGCACACATACATACACATGCACTTATAAGCACGCGCTCTGCTGACTGCGCAGTTAGCAGCGACTGCGCTTGGGCTGCGCTGCAATGTGGGCAATATTATGAGAATTTATTTGTTGACTAATTTCTTTTGTAGACATACGATCTTAATGAAACTTTCAGAGCGTAATCATATGGTTAAAATATTCCAAAGCACAAGTCTCTAGTACTTGAAATGCGTTTTTTACAAATTGGTGGAGAAGGGGGCGTGGTATCCAAAATCTGTAAATTACAAAATCTTTGTATCCATTAACTTTATATACAACCCAAATTTGAAGTCTCCAGGTCTAAAAGTGTTCAAATTAGGATGAAAAAACCAGGTCGATTTTTCGATTATTCTCGATAAAAAAGTTATCGGACGAGTTATCGAAAAAATAAAGCAAACTTGTACTGCCTATGGTATACACGAGTATGCATGCCAAATTTCAGCTCTCTAGCTCTTATATCTTCTGAGATTCTTTTGCTCATACGGACGGACGGACGGACGGACGGACGGACGGACGGACGGACGGACGGACGGACGGACGGACGGACGGACGGACAGACGGACAGGGCTATATCGACTCAGCTCGTCGTCCTGATCAAGAATATATATACTTTATGGGGTCTGCGATGATTCCTTCTGCCTGTTACATACTTTTCACAAAACCATTATACCCTGATTTCCCATTTTCAATGGGTTCAGGGTATAAAAAGAAAAGAAACAAAACAAACAGAGAGACGGGAAGAGCAAAGCGTATTCCACATACTTCTTAAGGACGCACACTTCATAAATCAATCAAGTATAATCCATCAATTAAAGCCGAGCCACCGGGGCATTGGCCACGTTATTAATGCATTCATAAACCTATCAATGGCTAATGAAACGTGTACATCGCGTGGAGTCAACGTCTTGACCTTGATGATTTTCCGTTTAACATTGAAGAGGCGGGACATGTATCGGTGTAAATTGATGTATGTATATGTGTAGCTGATATATATCGATGTATATATATGTATGGATATAGTTGGAGTCTCATTAGACATAAATCTGTGAATGGCTAATGAAACGTGTGTATTGAGCCATCCATGCAGTGACCTTGAGTATCTCAGCAATTTACCAACACTGTCCACATCTGGCTGACATGCTCCATAAATTTATACAATATATATGTGTATGTATGTATGTATGTATTGCAGTTGCGATCCCAATGGACATAAACCAATCAATGCCAAATTAGACGAACGTGAAGCGTCAGCGTCTTGGCAATTTACCAACACTGCAACACGGAGCACATACAACACACATACATATATATATGTACATATATATACATAGTTTGGTCGATTGGGTTGTTGTATCACATTGTTGCTCATTTTGTTGTAGCATCTAAAAATGGCCAACACCCGGCGGCGGCAGTGACGTCGACGGCGACGACGCTCATAAATTAACTGAAAAGCGTGTCGCAGTTGGCGACGCAACCCTGTGTGAGCGGCAACTCTAGCCTTTTTGCGACCGTCTCGCTGGCAACTTTATGCTTGGGTCAGCGCTTTACCATTCAAACTGCAATTAGGTATAAAAATTAACAAAAAACCAACAAAAATATTGGGGGTATGCCCGACCTTAGCCTTAGGCGGCAAAGCACAGCAAGATTAGACCGTGCCAGCGACTCGAGTCGGCAGCCACTTGGCCCAAAGCAAAGTCTAAAAACTTTCTAAATTTATCTGCCATTTTGATTTTGTATTATGTATGTGGGCCTAGCTGGGTATCTGTTACTCTGTAATTGCGTATAGTATATGGATATATTAATACAGCCGCTTTAATAGGTGTTCGATTGCCTAAGAGCTGGATTAGAATAGAATAGAATTTACATAACTCTCAGCAGTCTCAGTATGAATGAGATGTAGCTTGTTTTATTACTCAGAGGCATAGATTTTAGATATATAGGCAAATGATTATCTGCACATTTGTCGTTTACTAACACTGGCAGATGTTTCTCAAAACAGAATAGTAATTTTATATAATACAGTATATATATATATAATACAGTAATTTATATAATACAGTATTTTATATAATACAGTACAAGGTACCGACGTTGCACTCGGTAGACACTATAACCATATAAGTTTGTCTAGGGATCAGAATTTACGTCCCAATAAACGTACAGAGAGTGCGTAAGCCGTGTCGTTATAACCGGACTCTACTGTATCTGCACACTTTTTGCTCACTTAACAAACATTTCAACGATTTTATATATGTATATGATGTCTATATATGTATGTATGACGATTCACTTTACTAACACTTCAACGTTCTCCAACACTCAATCTCAGAGTAGCACAGCTGTCAAGTATTTCATGTTTGACGGCTATTGAGCCATAGATGCACACACATACACAGATATCAATATGTATGTCTATATGAAGACATAGCAATTCTGTGGTATATTTGTAGATTATTCGCTCACTTCACAAACGCTTCAACGCTTTCCAACACTGACACACAAAGCTCCAAGTAGCACAACTGTCAAAATGTTTAATGAACCTTCATGTTTGATAGATGTTGATTGTGAGCTCTGTTTTTTTTGGCTCGATTAATATTATTTTATTTTTTATATTTTTCGTTTCTTCAAAGTCTCGTATTGAGAGCGCTACAGCGATGTGGTGCAACGTGCATGTGGCATGCAACACACTCAATTTTGTGGCATGGCTAGCAGTCTGACCAAGACTTATGACAGCACAAACTTTCATCATGCTTCAACTTTGTGCGCAACAAAAAGGAATCTCAAGAATCTAATAACAGGTTCGTTGTATGTGTTTGTGTGTGTGTGTGTGTGTGTGTGTGTGGCATGGCTTACCCAATTGCTACTATGTTGCAGGCACATCAAAGGTATCTCCACACCGGGCGCTGCATTGTGGCACAAGCTAATCCGAACTCTGCTTGGCTCTCGGTCAATTGGATTTGTGCAACAATTTGCAACTTGCATACAACAGATAACTCAATAACAATGACAATGACAATGGCGATGGCAATGGCAATGGCAATGGCAATGGCAATGACATTGAGACTGCCTTGACAAGCAGCTGCTGTATGCAGTTCGCAGCATTTAGCTAGAGACAAAGCCGTTATACTGCTCTGCCCCCCCTCGGGAGGCAGTATTCATTGAGAGTGGAGACTGCAATTGATTGAGCAGATAATAATTTGATAAGATTGGCTCTTATAATATCCTTTAAGTGTGTAATGAATGGGGCATGTTGGGTTACTCAATGCGTATGCTCAGTGACCATAAGAATTTCTAACTCAATTACAGGGTATATTCAAGTGCGCATCAGACTGATAGACTTCTTGATAGGATAGTTGTCGAGAGATATCTCTTTGTGAATTTATAGACTTTTTAACTGATTACAGGGTATTTCATACACATCAAAATAATTCACAATTATTTGCTGTCGACAAATTTTAGTCTCCATAAGATCTGACTAGCTCTCTGATCTTACTACGGGGTATTTGGCAATACCAGATTTTCTTTGCGTGCCCATCTCTGATTCCCTCTCGGCAGAGATTACAGGGTATATGACAATAGCTGACTCTTATAGCTTAGCCTCTTGTGGTTAATTTTATATTCTAATTAGAGGGTATCTGACACTGTATACATAATACACACACAGTCCCATCCGATTTCCCAGGGTATTTGCCAGTCGGTCGTTGCTGTTGAGTTTTCCACTCGAAGTCGCCCTTAGGGTCCATTAATTAATGCTGGTCATGGTCGTAAAATGCAATAACGCTATTGCCCCATAAACAAACAAGACAACCCCCAGCCCGTCAAACGGATAAGCCCCAAATAAATCCAATTTTAAGCGTTCATTAAATGCAGCCAAAAGCAAAAACCAAGAAAATTTTAATAAATTTATAAGAGGATCAAAAATAAACGAAAATCTACAGCAGTGCAGCTCAGTGCAATAAATATAATTACTTTATATTTTAAATGCACACATATTCAATATAAAGTGCGTATATCTACTTACTATATATGCATGTATGTATGCACATATACATACATATTCATGTATCTGTATAAAGTTACTAATTGGATGACAAGAGTTTAATTGGGGCAAAACGAACGACATATGTTGTATATCGAAATGGAGTAATTCAATATTCAAACAATTAAGAGCTGGCGACAGCTTTAACATGGGCAAGGTTGAGTTACACGCACAGCTACACACACATACATATGCACACATACAATCGCTTCCCTTTTAATAGACCTTATTGCATTGAATTATTCGTTCCAGCAGTGAGTCTATTGGTTTTGTATGCTATATACCAATTGTGCCATTACTCCTCAGAGGTAGAGCTCGGGAGCTGAAATTCCTAGTATATACAGACGTTAATTAGGGGCGTGCCAAATCGGGTATGAACTCTTTATGTGTCGGTAGAGCAATAGGCATTACAGACTTTATCTTATATTCTAGTCTTAGTCTCAACAAATAGATAAGTCAAAAAAAAAAAAAAAAAAAAAAAAAAAACTGGGAAAAGCTTCTTGGCGCGTAGTAGGCATATAAATATGTTAGTGTTGGAAAACGTTAGAAAATTTGCGAGTAAATCGAATCTAAATTTATTCAGTAAGGAGAAACAAAATACTAGATAATAATAATAATCAGACGTAAATCGTAAAGTAAATATATAACTAAATTTGATCTAGACTTGATGAAAAAAAGTTATAGTAGTTAACTAAATCTATTATATAAATTACTGAAAGTAAAAGATTGGAAACAAATCATCGATTAAGCATTCTATTCAAGGTCTTTGCCATATGGATTGTTAAAATTCAACAATTGTTTGACAATCAATTCTCAGCTTGAGCATTTCAATTCAATAAATGAATTGAATAGATGTGAATGAGTGTTTGAATGCATTTGAATAAATAGCGAGTCTCATGAATATTTGAATGCCAATTGGCAATTGGCTGAGTGCGATTCAAATGGCAAGGGCAAAAGATGTCAACAGGCAGACAACAACAACAGCAACAGCAACAACACCAAAGACTTGTTGCATCTGCCACAAACTGTGGTTACTTGTGGCAACTCGAGCTGGTTGGCTGCGTGGGGCAGTGGGGGGGAGGAGGGGTTTAAATGTGTTGTGGTGGTGTGCTGCAGCGTTGCAACATTGTGGGCTGCTTGTAAAAGCAGATAACGCAGAACTTGAACTCACATTTCATTCATAACACACGGACGCAGATAGAAAGCAGCAGGCAGGCACAGAGAGTGAAAGGGAGAGAGAGAGAGGGAGAGAGAGAGAGATGGCATTGCAGTTGGCGCTGCCTGCCAAGTGAACACTCATTCATTTGTTCGCTGTCAGCATACACACACACACACACACACACACACACACATACACACCCACACACACACACACACTCACACACCCACAGGTTAGGTACTTTCATTCATTAAAGTCAGTTGTGACAAACTGAGGCGCACTTCGCTAACTCTTTCGCATTACTAACGTGTGTGTGTGTGTGTGTGTGTGTGCTCGTGTGTAGGTATTATGCACACCCACACACACACACCCTCACATACAGCGCGCGCGCGTTGAATGTAAACAGAGTGAAGTGCGTAAAATGTGTGTCACACGCGTTGCCTACTTTTTGGGGCACAACATGAAATATGCGAATGCATTTATCTAACAATGCGAACATTAGATATCGCTTAAAGATAATAACACTCTGTTCATCTGCCAGCGGGTAATAGTTTAGGTAGCTTGCTAATATCTCTCTCTCTCTCTCTCTCGCTCTCTCTCTCTCTTTCTCTCTCTCTTTTTGTCAGTTGGCCCACTCTCATAGCTATTTGAGTGTAAGCTCAAGATGAACAAAGTTTAGCTATCTATATCTATATATCTATATCTAACCGAACTGAGTACGCAACTTGAACCAAGAGCTGCACAAACTTAAGCAACTAGTTCGTAATTATCATATAAGTTTAGCAAATGTCTTAATTGGGAGCTGTGTGGCAGTAGAGAGAAAGTTGTTGAGTTTGTCTTATGGAAGTTAGTCAAGGATACAACAGAGACTTGAGACATGGCATCAGCATATGCAAACTACACTACGAACTTATCAATATATAAAGATACGATATGAATTCCTATTGATGAATATACTATATACCATAATCAAGTCAGGTTTGAGACTGTATTTCATTGATTGATGACAATTTGTAGCAGAGAAGCACAGAATTATGGTGAATATATAAGTTATATTTTAGACTATGGAATATTTATATATTGTGGAGAATAGTTGGAGAATATATTGAACCCATATTGTAGACTAAAGAATATTTATAGAATATTTATATATTATGGAGAATAAAAAAAAATTAAAAAATAAAATAAAGTTGGAGAATATTTTGAACCCATATTATAGACTATAGAATATTTATACAGCACTTTTAGTATATCTGATGCATAGGTAAAGGAGAATTGCTAGTTTGATTGGAACGGGGTTCTTATATAACTTTGAATTGTAGACAGTTTCCTCTTCATAACTGAATCATGAGTTATAAAAGATCATTTTTTTTTATTATTTTCAATTATTTTTAATTAAAATTAAATTAAAATAATTTAAACAATTTAATAAATATTAAATTTTCTTATGCATATAACTCTTTATAACTCAGAGGAAACTGACTCATCTCTTCATTTAAGCTGTAAATTTTTTTTTTTATGATTTAAGTTTTACTTTTAGAATATATAAATAAATAAAAAAAAATTGTAAATATATAACTAAATTCCTTAGACAATATATTATTACAATTGATGCAGAATTATATATATGTATATATAGCTGTCTGACTGAAAAATTCTCAAAATCTACTGAAGAGAGCTATCCTCTTCTATTGATATATAACTAGGGAAAAGCAACAATTTGCCCTTTAAGATGATTTGCTTAGGCTTAGAGCTAAGATTTGAGATATTTTAGATATATATATATATATAGTTATATACAGACCGCTGCGACTGCGATTGCTGCTGCTGCTGGCGCTGCTGCTGGTTGATTGCTGCGGCTGTTGCTGCTGCTGCGACTGTTGCTGTTGCTGCTGCAGCGGCAACTGTTGGCGGCGTGCGAAGCGCAGCGGCGCAACGTCGCTGACAGCGTACTCGGCCACCGCGATGCCGTTGGTCGATGTTGCAACACGCGGTTGCAACAATCAAAACAAAACCAAAAAAAAAAAAAAAAAAAAAAAAAATTTAAAAAGCAACCAACAACAATTGCTTGCGCGTTGTTTGCTAGCGTCTTCCTTTTTGGCAACTTCTCGACACGCACTCTTTCGCTCTGTTGTCGCTTTATTGCTGCTGCTTCACTCTGTTATCTCTTTTTGCTATATGTGTGCGTACAACAACAAAAAAAAGCACAAAAAAATACAACAAGACGCGTTAAGTAAATTCTGCGGCGGCGGCGGCGGCAACGCAACAATAAATGTATGCGCAGGGAATGAAGAAGTCGGCAAACGGCACGGCACGGCACGGCGTGGCACGGCCTGCCGACGGACAGATAGACGGACAGACGGACGGGCGGACGGGCGGACGGAGAGGAAGGGAAGGGAAAGGAAGGAGCAGGGACAGTGGAGAACGTGTGGCACGAAACGCTACGCTCTGGGGCAATTTTCATTTGTATTTACAGTTTACGATGCGAACAATACTAAAAGGCCACGTTTATATCAGATGCGAAACTCTCAACTAGCCGCAACTGAACTGAACACTCGACGCGCGCCGCAGCGCGGCGCGACTTGACGCGATTCGACACTGAGGACTCGCGCCACGCGACCCGCCTATCGACTCGCGGACTCGCAATGCTGTTGCTGTTGCTGTTTCTGTTGCCGTTGTTCTCGTTGTTGTTGTTGTTTTTGCGTTTCTTTTTGTTGCTTTTTTGGGGATGTTTGGGGGGACTGGGGTTGGCAGTATGCGCGACGTGTGCAATGTGTCCTGGCTTGGGGCACGGCTCGGCTGCGTTGTGGCACGTTGAGGCGTTCAACACCAACTGATGCCACAGTGCGCGCTCGTTCCCATTGCCAGCGTCTCAGCGTAACGTGAACATATCGCCTTCGTGTGCGCTGCGCCCCAGCAAGTGGACAGTCCACAGGCCAGGAACAGCTGTTCGCTCCAGCGGCAACAGCTGTTGCAAGCTTTCGCTCAGCTTTCACGGCATTTGCTGGCAAGAGCAACAAATG